GCAGGGAGCCCGATGTGGGGCTTGATCCCAGGACCCTGGGATCATGACCTGAGCCGAAGGCAGACGCTTAATGACTGAGCCACCCAGGCACTCCTATTTTTGCTGCTTTTGATGAATACAGGAATCAGTACCTAGAGTGATGGCACCCTTTATGGATCCCCAGGGAAATGTGAAATTTGGCCATCTAGGCCGGTTGGGGCTGAAGGCAGGAGAAATCAAACTGGCATGATGGAAGGGGGCTCGGTCATTCTCACACTGGTGGATATCTGCTTTAATGATCATCTGTGCTTACCCTGGATGAAGTAAACACTGAAAACAAGGCTTTGGGTAGCTGAATATCCACCCCCAATCAAAAAGTACAAAAGACATGAGGGACTGCTTCCTCACAGTGGTGGCTGCTTCTGATGGGGCTGGTACAGAGAGAAAGAAAGGCAAGTTTAAATTCCTAAATTCTCTGCCCAAGACACAGACCCAAATCCAGGCATTCTATAAGAAAGAAATTACTACACTGTGCATCCATTGAATTCCTGGCCTAAATTCCCACTCTGTCATTCGAAATTTAGGATTAATTGTGAAAGAGGGAGTGGGAGGCCGAGTGTCAGAATAGGGAGATATGGGAGGATGTGGGAGAATGTGAACACTTTAATTCCCACTGAGTATCCTGTGTAAGCTGAAACCAATCTTATTTTCCCTGGAGAGACTGTATCTACCTTAATTGAAGACCTTGTAGTGACTTCTACTGAGAGTGATGCTTTTTAAGGAAAGCCAATTTTCATAGCCCCTCATCCCACCCTTCCATCTCCGGACCTATAACTGCCTTGTGCACCAAGCACTTTATGTGCTTTCCAAACATTCAGTCATTTAATTCTCCCAACAATCCCATGAAATAGTTGCTACCATTATCAGCCTCATTTTGCCAAGGAGGAAACGGAGGCCCAGAGAAATGAAATGCCTTGCCCGGAGCAGCAGAGCTCCTAAGTGGTAGAGATGGTAGAGAAGCTATGCTCTTACCTTCACCCCGAGCGATACGGTGTCCCTGATTAGAGCTTTGAATGTATGCGGGAAGTGATTACATGGGGGTTCCTCCAGGCATTGGAAAAATGAAGAGAGTTAGGCATCAGAGGACTCTTGCATTGCTTATAGGTACCGTTCTTTATTAAATCCACAGAAGAAAGAAAAGAAAGGAAAAGAAAATTTCTACTTCTGGGAAACTGAATCATGAATTATTAGTTTTCTTTGAGACAGCTTTGTCATGCATATTGCATTCCTTGAGCCATTCAGATAAATCATGGCCAGAACAGTGCCGGGTCCATGAATCCCTGGGAAATGAAGGGAGAGAAGGAGGGTGAAGTGGACAGGCTGATAGGGTGGCAGTGCCATGATCCCCGCTGCCCAAGGTCCAGGCCGCCCCTACGAACTTACCAAGCAGTCATACCATTCCCTGAGGACACCACCTTCCCGGCACACAAGGTATCATCCAGAATATGGCGGTTGAGCAGGTCTACGGGGGGAGGGAAGAAAGGGACATAGTGATCTGGTGCACTGGGGACAGGGTGACAGTGTATGGTAGGCCCAGGGGTTCTGCATTCCTTGGAGCCTGAATAACTTCAACCACTACATTGACTGATTCTAGATGACCTTGATTCTCTTGTCGGCTGGTTATGAATTACCTCAACCGCCATGTTGGCTGGTTCTGTAGAACCTTAACTCACGTTGACAGATCCTGGATGATCTTTTTTTTTTTTTTAAGATTTTATTTATTTATTTGACAGAGACACAGTGAGAGAGGGAACACAAGCAGGGGGAG